CCTTGGCGCCGTCCCTGCCTGTGAACTACCACGTGTGGTTTGATGGTAAGAACACATATTTAAGGTTTAATTCCTAATATTTACATACAATATATATATATATATCATCTATGCTTTCGATATAGAAAAATCTTCCATCAATTTATCCAAAAAGCTCCATTACCTTTTTTTTTTTAAAAAAAAAAAAAATTATCCAAAAAGCATCCAAAAAGCAATTGGCCGCCTGCCTTAGCAGCCTGTGTCGATTCAATTCCTTTTTTTTCTTCTTTGATCAGCGTACGCGTCGAATCAATTGGCACCCTCTTTTTCAAATAAGAAAATGAGATGGGATCTCGAGATTCATGTGATCTCGATTAAAAACTTCTGCAGTTATAAGCATGAAGAACTCGTGTAAACAGTGAGGGGAAAAATAGGAGAAAGAAAAATTGGCTCGCCGTTGTCAATGCTCAAGAGAAAACCCTGTGGACAATATACTATATATACCAAGGCTCTCCAGCTCTTTCCCGCACCAAAATCCCTCCATTCTCTCATTTATCCACTTCAAACTTTCTCACATACAAAAGAAAAATGTCAGCTCAAGCCTTGGCAGCTCCTACCTCTCCTCAAAATTCAATCTGCAAAGATAGCCGTCCCACGTCTAGTTACCATCCTTGCATTTGGAGGGATCATTTCCTCAAGCATTCCTTCAACTTCATGGTAATTAATCATATTATAAAATCCCTAAATCAATACTTCTATAACATTACAGTTAGAAAGAAAGGTTCTTTCCCTAGATGAGTGTTTTTTCTTTTTCTTGTTTTATTTTTCTTTTTGACCAGGATGCATGACGTGATTGTCTTGGTCATGCGCCTGACAGCATCATATTACCAAAAACCAATTTTTTTTAATTACCTTCTGTTATTTCTTGGTCTACTGGGCCACATAATTTCGACTACTTCTATGGATCACTGTACTGTTTGGCAGAAAAAGTTTGTCAAGATGTAGCACAACATTGAATTTTTGTGGTACATATTTAAGATTTTATGTTTGGAATACATGTGCAGAAAATTGATGCCAAAACTCAACAAGAATATGAAGAAGTGAAGCAACAGATAGGGAGGATGTTGTTGGATGATGCTACCATTGATCCTTCAAAGAAGCTGAGTTTGATTGATGCCGTACAACGTTTAGGCATTTCTTACCACTTTGAGACTGAAATCGAAGATGCCTTGGAGAAGATATATCTTGATGGTGTTGATTGTATTGAATCTGATTTGTCTACAGTTGCTCTTTGGTTTCGATTACTTAGACAACAAGGGATCAAAATCCCATCTGGTTAGTATTTATCCTAACATCTGAAAGACATATAATATATATCTAATAGAACATTTTTTTAAGTGTTTGTAATGAATTAATTATTTAATTAGTTGTGCTGAAGGTGTTCCTGTTGTTGATGCAGAGATATTCAAGAAATTCATGGATGAGAAAGGAAATTTCAAGGAAGATTTAGCAAATGATGTACCTGGAATGTTGAATCTATATGAGGCTGCACATCTTCGTGTGCATGGAGAAGATATCCTAGATGAAGCCATTACTTTCACTACCTCACAACTTGAATCGATGGCAACAAAAGTAAGCACTTTGCTTGCAGAACAAATAGCTCATGCCTTAAAGCGGCCTATTCGGAAAGGCTTACCAAGAATAGAAGCAAGACATTACATCTCTCTATACTCAAGAGACGATCATTTTGTCTCCTCTAATGCAACACTGCTTAAATTTGCAAAGATAGATTTCAACATGCTACAAGCATGCCACTTAAAGGAGTTGAGCAGCATTATGGAGTAAGTTTATTTTTTTCTTCTACAGTAAATAAACTTCTAATGGTGGAGGCATTACCTTAGGCTTTTGAATTTCGCTTGGTTTTTTAGGTGGAGGAAAAAATTGGATTTTTATACAACAAAGATGCTTTATGCAAGGGACAGAGCAGTGGAGTGCTACTTTTGGATCTCAGGAGTTTACTTTGAGCCCAAATACTCCTTAGGAAGGACTTTTTTGACTAAAGTAATAACCTTGACATCCGTTTTGGATGATACTTATGACAACTATGGGACAATTGAAGAACTCAATCTCTTGACCAAGTGTATTGAAAGGTTACATTCTCAACTTTAACCATTATTTTAGTCAAATTATTGGAATATTAATTTTCACATATTTCAAAAAGGAAATTCATAATTTTGATCCTTGACTTTAGGTGGGACATTGATGTTATAAATCAACTTCCAGAATACATGAAATTGGTTTATCAAGAACTTTTAAATGTTTATAGCGAAATGGAAGCAGAAGTTGCAAAAGAAGGAAGATCATATGCTGTGGATTATGCAAAAGAGTCCGTAAGTAACTAATTCATGTAGGACTGGATTAATTCACAATATGGGGACTTTAGATTCTTTGTTAATAACTAATTCATGTGTAAATTAATTTCATCAATAGATGAAACGGGCAATGAAATCTTACTTCGAGGAAGCCAAGTGGCGGGAAGAAGGCTACATTCCACCCCTGGAGGAGTACATGCGGACAGCTCTCATATCTACTACATATCCCATGCTCATAACAAATTCCTTTGTTGGCATGGGAGAAGTTGCAACCAAGGAAGCCTTTGATTGGATCTCTAAAGAGCCTAAAATGCTTAAAGCTTGCACAATTATCTGTAGACTCATGGATGATATTGTCTCGCATGAGGTATGCTTTGTCTAAGTATGTAAACTTAATTTTCCTTGATTAATTTTATGCAATTCATTTCATATATCAACTGTCAATATGACTATATATATGACTTCATAGATTTATATTGACATATAAAAATTTATGCAGTTTGAGCAAACACGAGATCACGTTGCATCCGCTATTGAATGTTATATGAGGCAGTATGGTGTTTCAGAGGAAGAGACAGTGAAGTTGTTTCTAGAAGAAATTGGCAATGCATGGAAAGATATCAATGAAGAGTTCATGAAACCAACAACTATTCCTATGCCTATCAAAACTCGAGTTCTCAACTTTGCTCGGGTCATGGATGTCATATACAAGGATGGTGATGGCTATACAAACTCTCACATTTTGAAGGACCAAATTGCTTTGCTGCTTGTGGATCCTCTTCTTATATGAAGGAGTATTGGTCCCCATGCGCCTTTGGAATTGAAATAAAATTAGTGGTTGTTGTGCCCACCAGAAAAAGTTGCGTCAGTTTTATCTGTCTTTAAATAAAAGTTATGCATCCATAATTTGCTGTACCAGTAGTAAGTGTGAACCAAAGGCATGGCTGAGACCATGATTAGGATCCTTTTACAGTGATTCCTCCATCCCCAATTTCCCATTGTCCAAAAAAATAGAAGATCTTATAATTATAATTAATGTCTTAAATATCGTTTTTATCTATTTGGGTTACATATATACAATCAAGTATTCTTTCTTTTGATTGAAGCAAATTATAAACTGTGAGTTTAATAGAGGGGGAAAATGGGAAACTATTCATTAAATTCGGTTTACAAAGTGTCGTCTATGGAACAAAATAGGCTGGAGAAAGAGTTTTATGAGTCACTCTGGATAAAAGGTGGCGCCTTTGAAGGTTGCGGCCTTTGCCTGGTTACAAAACAGGATTCCTTGAAAACTAAATCTTCAAAAAAGAGGAGTCATTAGAGGCTCAGATGTAGAAATTAAATGTCCTCTCTGTGGGGACATGTGCTTTTTTTGCTGTTCTAAAGCATGGAGAGTGTGGACAGCAGGCCATGCGTGGTGGGGCATCAACACAGCGCTAATTTCTTCAGGAGCCAATGGCCATTTCCTACAACACACTGGTTTGTTTTCTAGAGGTAGTCTACGCGGGGGATGGTCAGTGGTATGGTTTACGGTCCTATAGTCTATATGGTTTGTGGAGAGACTAAAAATTATTTAGAGATGAGGATTTTGATTGGGAAGGGGTTGTGCAATTAGTCAAACTCAGATCTTTTTATTGGCTTAATGCGAAAGGATGGCCCAACTTGTCAAAAGAAATCTGGTGTTTCTTCACCCAAAATGGCATTAATGGACAAAGGATTATAACAACGTCAATTGTGGGGTCAAGGAATCTCGAAGTCCCAAACCTCCCGTTTTCCCAAGGTGCATTCTTTTAAAGTACCTTACGTTGATCTTGAGTTGTTTTGGATGATTTTAAGCTTTTGTTTTGACTATGTGGATCGACGATTGTTGCCGTGGATTTTGTGGGTTGTGGGGTTTTAAGGATTGTGCGATTAGAAGTTATATTTTATTTGCACTCCAATTGTTCGATGAAATGCTTGTGAGGGATGTGGCAGTTTGACTATGCTACTTTCTGGTTTTCTGGTTGACAGACGCCGGGGTTATGTTCAGTTTTTTCAACTCTAGTGGAGAACTATGTATATAAGGTTCTAATGGGTTTCCCTGTAAGATGTTTTTAGCTTCTAAAGAAATAGTAATTGAAGCATTAAACCTAGAATTTCTGGAATGGAATTTTTCTATATTAAGCCCCTGAATTCTATAGTTTTGCTGTTGTGGGGTACTCCAACTCAAAAGAACAAATCCACCTCTCATTGTAATTTTGGATTGTTAATAACAATCGGTAACGCTAAAATTTAAAGTACCATATCGGTGTCTGTTTTCAACTTAAAAGTGACAGTTTTTATTGTTCATTTGTATCACTTCAGACAAATACAATCAAAGCTGTAAACAAGGCAAACATAACTTCAAAGTGATTAGAGAAAATATATATTGAGATTGATATATTGATATACAGAAGACCTTATACATGCTAGATGATGAAACTAAGTACATGTTTTGATGCTACAAATTAAGAGTAGTTTCACTAAGAATTCATTGGATACTAAGGAATGGGGACTAACCAAAGATCATGTTTTCTTCTTGCTACACCTCTGAAATCTTCAGTCATATCGAAATTTTCAGGATTCTGTCCCTCGGGGAGTTTCCAATCAAAATGGTAAAGCAGATTCGCAGGTTCAGGCTCAATAATGGCAGGAGCAGAAGAAATGCGAACACACATCCTTCTACCAGCACCAAATGGTATAAATTCAAAGCCACTACCTTTATAATCAGCTGTGCTGTCCAAAAATCTCTCAGGTAAGAACTTCTCAGCTTCAGTCCATTACTTTGGATTTCTTCCTATTGCCCATGCATTGATAAATACTCTGGATTTCGCCGGTGTCTATATCCATTAATCTCACACCTCCCTCTGCTTTCTCTTCAGCAGGGTGTAATCTCAAGGTTTCTTTGATTACTAGATTTAAGTACTTCAGCTCCCTTATGCCTGCTTCATCGGCACTACCTTCTCTGGGAAAGACACGCCTCACCTCAGGCTGTGCCTTTTCCACTACTCTCAGATTTTTTAGCATTTCTGACATTGCCCATTCCACAATGACGGTTGATGTCTCGTCACCACCCATGAATATATCCTGAAATTGCATTTGTTAATTTACATAAATTAAGAAATCAAGTTTTTTCAAATCACATAAGGCGGCAGTGTTGGTAATTACCATTATAACAGCTTTGATGTTGTCTGTTTTAAAGGGCATTTCAAGTTTTCCATGCTCTTGAAGATCCAAAAGCACATACACAAGATCATCTATTTCAATCCATCTGCTAGCTCTCTTAGCTTTGTGTTCCATGATGATGTTTTCAAGGATTCCGTCTGCTTTGTGATGCAGATTCTTGGATTTAGGACTCATTATTGCATGGATAAGATGAAGTAACTTCATGGAAGGGAAGAGACCAACGAGACTCAAGCCTGCAAATAATTCCACAATGTCCGGACCAAGCTTCCTGAATTAATTCTTCATGGTGCTTGGACTTTCCACCGAGGGCAGCCCTTGAAATGACGGTAAGTCCTGTGGAGTATAGCATGCATGTCTTTAAGGTTGATAACACATCCTGCCTCTAATGAGATGCCTCTAATTAAATTCGATACCTCTTCTTCCCTCACTGGTCTGAATGATCGAAATGTGCGCATGGGACTCAGCAGCTCGGTTGTGCATATTTTTTTCAGTTGTTGCTAGTAGTCTCCATATGGTGCAAGTCTAAGGTCCGAATAATTGTAAGTCAGTAACTTGAGAGAATGGAGACGGGGCCAGCTAGCGAAAATGAGGTCATGAGTCTTGAGCACATCTCTAGCAGTTTCTAGTGAGGAGAAGACGGAGGTTGGGACTTCTCCGAGTTGCAGGTGCATTACAGGACCATATCTCTTGGCCAAGTCCCTCAGGCAGTGATGAGGAAGACTTTGAGGAGTCTCCTGATTTTCTAGAAATCCTCAAGACCACGACTATGAAGAAGACAAAGGTGAGAAGGAAAGGATAGAAGGCAACTTGCAAGTTTTTCATCTCCATTTCAACTGTGGAGGGAGACGAGGGGATTTGACGTCTATCTTTTTTCCTCCTTTAACTTGTATACTGGTGGCTGTGTTTCACATAAAAAAGCTTCACAACTGATTGACTTCATGGACGTGAATTTGATTTTTAACCAATTATGCAATTAGAACTTTGGTTTAAATAGATGTTAAGAAGAAAAGAACTTTGTGTCAATCATAATTCATAACTAAAACAAATGATTAATGCACAATAGCCTTGCTCTTTATCCAAACAGATGACTTTTTTTTTTCTTATTTTTTACTTTTCTACATGAATAATGTTATTGTGATGTTAAGGATATAAAGTATAATACTTTTTCTGTTTTTTATGTAATTATCTTACTTTATGGTTGCAAAATAACGAAGGCAACATAGAGAACAATTAAAAATAAAAAAAATTAGAGTTTAAAATGCATCATTTACCCCTAATTATTTTAGAGCGTTTTTACAAGCTGAAACAGTATACACTCCTTAAAACAAAGCAAAATCTTATGTAACTGGGTAAGTGCAAAACAAAACAGGCCAACCCCCTCACATGTTTTGTGTACTAGCTAGAAAATTTGCTTAATGCACAAAGCAAGGTTTTTACACATCAATCACTAAAAGAGAAAACTGCACCTGTAGCTTTTCTTGCTTGCGGAGGCAAGGGGCATGAGGGGGCACGAGCCCCTTAAACTCTTGTAAAAAATTTTGTTTGGTCTATTATGTTTTATTTTTCTCATTTCATCCTTACTTATTTCATACCATTTTAATCATTTTCTAGAATTTGTGTTATTTAAGATTACTTTTAATCATAAAGAGAAAGATGGGAAAATAAAGATAATATAAAATATGAGAAAAAGGTAAGGGTGGTTTATTTTTTTATCAAAAAAGTGTATTACAGTCCAGATTCTAAAACAATACATTGTTTTTTATTAAATATTTGTTCCTTAATATCTTTAGTCTTTCTTTCTTTGTTCATAGTATATATTCTACTTAATATATGTTTGTTTTGGGAAATAATTTTTGTACGATTTTTTTTGTTTTGGAAAATAATTTTTGTACAATTTTTTTTGTCTCATTTTTTTGTACAACTTGATGTGTTATTAAAATGATTGATTTTTTTAATTCAAGTGAAACCCGTAATATTAAATATATTTACTCATTTAACGATATATGAAAATTATATGAAAAGATAATATAAAAAGGTTATACCTATAACACTACCCGTTTGTTTTTATCTTTCAATTAATGATGTTTATACTACATTATCAACCATAATTAATTTATTGTTAAAGATAAATAAATAAATATTATTTAAAAAATATATTTTTAAAAATTTTTTTAAACTGACATACAATCATCGTTTTTTGAGTGAAAATTTTATTTTGCCTTCCTTAATAGTATTTTCTAGCTCCAACACTAATTTTGCTCTTTGTTTATCCAAGCAAAAGCTTTATTTTTTTTTCCTACCACAACACGTGAATCATGTTATTGTGAGCATTGTCTTGAAATTCAATCTGGTCCGGTCGGTGCAACTACTTAAACCAAGCTTGGCTCTAAAAACATGCTGAGTAAAGTAATGGTAATAACTCGTCTGAAGTCAAAACCAATCAAACTCATCCAAACCCAGTCAAATTTACTCAAATTTGGTCAAACCAATTGATCCAAACCGATTCAACTTTTTTTTTTACAATTTTACATTTTTTTAAAATTTTTCTTTAATTTCTATATTTTTATTTATTTAATTAATAGATAATATAATAATTAAATTATAAAATCTATTTAAAATTAAATTACAATTAAGGAATGAAAATTTTTAAATTAATTTAAATGTAATTTTAAATTAAATCAATATTTCAAATTAGAGGGTATTGTAATTTAGGATCAAATCAATTTGATTTTAGAAATAAATAAATAACTATTTTATATAATGAAATAAATGAAATCAATTAAAATTAAAACTAATCTTAAGTAATTTTGGAAGTAAAATCAATTACTACTTTAGATAATAAAATAAATGAAATTAAAACTAATGTCAAGCAATTTTGGAAATAAAATCAATATAAAAAAATAATTTTATAATTAATATGATATCAATATTTTAGATGCCTATTAATAAAAAATTTATTATCTGTTTTAATAAATTTAATGAATGGAATTAATTTCAAATTAATAAATTTTAAAATTAAAGTCTTAAAATTAATAATTACTTTAATTAATAAATATAAAAATAATTTTAATCAATTTTAAAAATAAAATCAATTAAAGTATAAATGATTTATAATTTTTAAAATAAATTAAATAATAATTATTAAATTGATCAATTAGCTTGACTGATTAAACTGGTCTAACCAATTAAATCAGATCCAGTGACTAAAATGGATTGATCACTGAACTGAGTTTTAAAACATATCATGAATAGCTATATATATATATATATATATAGAAAAGTTAAAGATAAGGAAAAATTAGGATATCTTAATAATATCAATAAATTTAATTACAACTATTGACTATGTAGGAGATATAATATAAACTTTAATTTTATTACTTTTACCGTGTACTTTAAGTTTGGGGATTTAATTATAATTTTTCCCTTCTCATATTTACAAGAATAATTTAATTTAATTTAACAACGATGGGTTTTGGCATTCTTTCTCCACCTGGGGCTGCTGGTGCAACTAGCAATTAATTATGCGTGATATTTTACAGCCACTTCCTCTATCAGTATAAACGTCATTTTCTTTATGATTTGAAATCCTATGACTCCCATTTGTGTTTTAATTTAGGCATCGGGATCTATACGTAATCTACAATTTCATCATCATGATCTAAATTTTTCATCACGACTCCATTGTAACTATCATTTTTAAAAGATTAGTGCTGCAACTATTCCACATATATAATCCGATTTCCTTTTTATCAATTATAGTTATACTTACGGCCCTTTAGACATTATCAAGAGATTTTCACGCGCATTACAATTCCAATGCTCACTTTAGTTCGCAAAAGTGGTTTCATTAGATTCATAGGTAAAGGAACTTTGTAATGTGAGGAACGGCCTTTAGGTTTTTATTGACCAAATATTTAAATATAAAAAAAAATTTCATTATTTGATGAATATTTAAATTTATATAACTACCCTTTTTATAAGATAAATTACTTGTCTTGTCTTATAAAAAAAGATTATTTTTTAATAGACTTAATTTAATAAATCATTTATTAATTTTTTTTTTCATTGTAATTAAAAAACTTTACTTTCTTTCAAACTCATTCATAAATTTCCAAAACTGTTTCGTTCTCATCTACCGGATATAACTCCATTAACTTTATTTAGGGATAGTAATTTATCTCGATCCCCGCAGAGCTCCACGGAGATCCTCGTCACAAAGACAAAACGAGACAAGGAGGAACATTCCTACCCACGAGGCAGGGATGAAGGATATTTTCTTGCCGTGAATTTTTCCTTCGGTAGGGCCCTGTGGAGATGCTCATCCCTGCAAAAAGTTAAAAAAATATGTAAATTAATTTTATTTTAAATTTAATTCATCTTTCAAACCCAAATTCAATTCAATAAAATTTAAACTTAACCCAATTTTACCTAACTCATTATTAACTTTTTTTGTTATTTATTAACTTTTTTGTTATTTATGTTGAATTGATGTTTATTTATGTTTAGACAATTTATATTTAGATTTATATTTAAAGAAATTTAATTAATTATACTTGAATTTTTAAA